AAAGATTCCTCAGAAACGGCGGTCATGGGAATCTTTACTGCAGTTAGCACTGCGACCCGTCACCAAGATCTAATTTCGAGGCGCGTGACGATGATATTGATGATGAGTGTTCGCGTGAGGAACGATACTATGTTGGAAGGCCATATTCAGCGGTCAGGAAAACTGTCTTTACTTTCGAGAGGATGATACATCCAATTCTGTTGAGACGACGAATCGATCAGAAGGGCCCTTTCACAGTAGAGAGCTTTCGCCACCTTTCACACCTTGTGCTGCTGGTGAATTCTACTGGCAAGATTCTGATTTACGCACAGCGAAGAATTATTATGATGATGCTCGAGGACTGTATCTGAGCATTGACGTAGATGGTGATGATGGTAATTTCTATGGGAGCGACTGGGCTCCCACCGCGACGCCAGAATCATATGGGGTCTACCCTTCTAGTGAGGTTGAAGGTTATTACGATAAAGGACATTTTGAAAATCGATATGTTTACGATTATTATAATTTTTATCAGTCTATGGATAACGGAGATAATACGAATGAGGTAACGAGGAAATTCTTGAGGGTTTTCAATGATCATTCTTAGGTTGGGAGAAATTTGGTATGCGCCATCTGCGATGAAGATATCGTTGCCAGGGGCAGGCGATTCGGACTACTGGAGAATTGTTCGCATCCCTTCTGCTTGGAATGCATTCGAAGATGGCGCGATCAGAAAGGCTCCCAAGATAGGACTAATCTGCGGCTGTGTCCACTGTGCAGGGTGGAAAGTTTTCTTATTACGCCATCGGAAGTGTACCTGCCGGACGGACCTGACAAGACTGAGGTCATTCGAGGGTATAAAGAAGCACTCGCGAGAATACCCTGCAAGTTTGTAACGGCTGGTGAAGAGTGTCCCTTTGGGAGTTCTTGCTATTATAAACATGATGATAATGATCATGATGATGATGAGGAACGCGGGAAGAGATTCCTATGTGGCGCAGATGGTAGCATTAGGTTTAATGTGGTTTGTGAAGGTGTGGCTTGTAGGTAAAGTCCAGGCCCTAAGGAAGCCGAAATTGTCGGACTACCTATTCCCTTGTAAGCAGTAGGTTGTTATTTGTACATAGTCTAGGATGACGACAGTGTTTACCAATTCTGCTATGGCTTGCCGCAATTCTGTACAGGAAGGCGTATGAGAGTTCACTGTTTTGCTGCTGGTGAGGTACGTCAAATAAACTTATATTTGGAGGACATATAAAAATATTCTTTTTAATGGTATTGAAGTGGTTGTGTTGGTCAGGGATGCTTCAGCTTTCAAATGGATGTTTTCTCTGCAGAATGGGGTGGTGACACGACATTGGTGTCACCACTGGGGTTTTCTGATGGATAGTAGAAATAGAAGTAAATAGTATTGACTTTCGTAGAAACAAACTCGAAGTGATATGGACGAATTCGGGAGAAGTTGGTATGAATTCCGATCAACTGTCTATTATTTTCGAGCTCAGTTTTATCCCGTGTCACATGGGTGTCGCCAGTAACCTCGTCGGAGTGGCTTTCGCTGCTTACTTCGGGCATATATGTTACAACTTTTATTCTCTATCGGAGATACCTCTCCTCGAGAAACCGCAGCAAGACGCTCAATTCGGGGTGGAGTCATTCGTTCCTGAAGTGACGATGGAGTGGTATGGGTTAATGTTGAATTAATTTTGCTAGGGCTATCGGCTGGATATGGACGTGTACCTGTCGAACCAACGAGGGTCGGCTAAAGGCATCCCATGGACGTCTATGGCGAGAGTCGCCACGTTTGATAACGTTACCTATGACTGGAGGGCAGATTCTCATAGGAAGGTGATCGTGGTCAGGGGGTTTTTCATTGAAGTGATGATGGTGTGGTATGGATTTCATTTCTCGTGGCTGGGATGGGTGTCACTAAACTCGAGGGAGTTTACTGTGGTTTTTGAGGATAAAGCTCTAGGGAACAAGTCGTGATTTTAATGAGAATTTTTTTTTCCGGAAAAGATATTTTTCCCCCAAAAAATAACATTTTCTCGTAAAATCAACTTCAAAGTTAGTAACTTTTAAGGTATGCCATATCAGAACGAATAATTTTGCAGTCACGATAGCGATGGGAGTTTTCTGTGGTTGAATTTAGGATGTAAAACTGAGCGGAGCGTGGTTGCCGGACCGATTTCGGGCAAGGAATGAATCTTTGTATGTGCATGTGGTGCTGCGAAAGGCTGGTTCAAAGGGCCACCGTAAAGTAAGTTGAATTTAATTTCTCCGCTGATTTTTAATTTTTTCTTTGTGAAGGGGAGCAACATTCTGGGCCACAGGGCGATGGAATTGTCAACGTATATGGTTCCTCACGAGGAAAGAGATGGAAGGCACTACCTATTGCAAGCCTTCACCAATGGCACTTACGCTCGGGAGATTCAGAAAGCGGTAGGATATTAGTTTTTATGAGGTTGTTTTTTTGTGGAGTGTTGGAAAATTTCGATCATGGAATTGGAAGTCCAACGCCGACAACACGGCACGGCTAAGCAACCATCGATGGATTGGTTTAACCCGTGTACCACACCAACTAGTTTTTGCGGAAAAGTTTTTGGCATCAGGGTTGTGAATTTCGGGTTTCGTTTAAATGTACCTCTCGAAATTGAGAGTATCTACGGCCCTTGAAGTTTCTGGATTTCACGTGAGAAATTTGTGGTTTGGGTTTTTCATGATGATACTGTAGAATCTTACAAGTGTGAAAATTGTTTATGAAATTCTGTTTGGTTGGTTTGAACCGGGGACCTATGGGTTGCTAACACACCGAGTATTCGATTGGACTACTTTTCCTGGTGTGTAGCCCGTGCCCGTCGCGAGGCTGTCGATACCGACGAAGATGGAGGTTGGTTTGATCGTCGAGACACGCACGATGGATGCTCGTAAGCTCTATCAGAAAGGGCTCGCCAACTTGATTGATATGAACTCGAGGAAAATTCATGTAAGTTTAAGCGGAGCGAAGTTTTTTTCTCGTTTTTCGGAATGTTATTTATGCAATGATGGTTTAGTGGATGAGGAATAGGAGTGGGGAATTTAATATAACAATTTATCAAAACGAAAATTGAGCAGAGTCAATTTCGCTCGCCCTAAATTAAGTTTTTATGGTAAGGATAGTTGCTTTGCTCAGTTGCCGATCTTTATGAACACGCATGCCACTCCGAGGGACGAGTAAGTTGATGGGAAGAAATTATTTGGTTTTCAAAGTACCACTTGTGAGGTTCGAACCTGTGCCTCTTGTGGGATCGACCGAGCCTCTTCCGGAGTTAACTATTTCGTTCCACAAAGTTGGCATGGGGTATTGGATGGTGAGCCAGTCGCTGCTGCATGGCTTTGAACATATGGAAGACGTCATGAAAGTGAGCTGATTAAAAAACTTCGCTCCGCTCAGAGTTTGTTTTTATGTAGGTTAACGAATACGACCTCGATTCGTTCAAAATGCTGCTATCCGGCTCGAGTGGTCCGTGGAGACTTCTGGTTGTCTATGGCGTTAGCTTTTTACATATTCTATTCGAGTAAAAAACTCAGCAATAGTGAGGGATTGTCTATCGCCGGTGTGGACGTAGTCAAGTACATGTGTAGGTG